TATTTAGTACAGGCTCTATAGGGTCTCACTACTAGATCAGACTCATAGTGATCTTCCTGTTTCAGCCTCCCACCTGCTAAGATTACAGGCATGTGCCACCACATCCAGTCTCAATCACCGTCTCAGCACACCTTGGGGGTAGGGCCAGTGCAGCATGCAGGGGACCAAACACCGGCCACTGTGCTCAGCCTAAGCAGGCACTTTAGTCCTCTGAGCTATCTGGCCGGCCTCATTACCACTTCTTTTCTGTGCTAATGGTGACAGATTTTGCTCTTAACTGGTCATTACCATATGTCAACACCGTGAGTGTGTGTCATCATCACCGTGGTTGCTTTTCTCCTCCCTGAGTGGTACTAGAGACAGAGCCCCCAGCAGAAAGCTGGCCACTGACATACAGCCACATAAATGTGGGGCAGGTCCATCCTGAGAGAGACACAGATCCCAACACATAAGCAGGGGAAGTATGAAATGCAGGGCAAGGGAATGCCTCTGAAGTCCAGGCTTGTACCTAAAGGCCAAGATGTCCAAATACAAGAAATTACGGAGAATTCAAAACTGATTGATGATTTCAAATAGAAATAGCTGAATAAGTTAAGGAAGGCAATGAAAAACATGAAGAAATTCAACAAAGAGAGATTCTAAAACAGAACCAAACAGGAATCATGGAAATGAAAAGCTCAATAAGTCAAACTGAAAACTCAGAGGAAAGTCTAAGCAATGGGCTACATCAAACACAGACAGAATTCTGAGCTTCAAGACAAGGTTGATGAATTATCATACACAGAGCATAATAAAGAAAAAGATACCAGAGAAGAGGAACAAAATATCCAAGAACCTGGGGACACTGTTGAAAGACCAAATCTATGAAATTTTGGTTAGTCTGTACCTGTCCACAAGACAGTGGAGAGGTACAGATGAACAGCATAGAAAATCTACTCAGTTGGGGCTGAGGTGTGGCTTGGAGGTAAAGCATCTACATAGCACTGTAAGGGCTGGGGTTCAATTCTCAGCAAAGAAAAGTGGGAGGAGGGAGGAAGGGAGAGAGGAAGTGCAGGAGGGAGGGGGGAAGGAGAGAGGAAGAGAAGATGGATGGATCTAAGCAGTGAAATAATACCAGAAAACTTCCCAAACCTTGGGAGACACAGGCATTCAGGTATAGGAGGCACTTAGAATCTCAAACGGGCATGACCAAAAACCCTCCCTACATTACTGTTAAAATGTCACGAGTGCAGAATAAGGAAAGAATACTGAAAACTCTAAGACAGCAATGACAAATCCTTTGTAACAGTACACCTGTCAGAGTAACTGCAGATTCCTCTGCAAAACTCTGAACAGCCAGGACAGTATTAATTTTAACTCCTGAAAGAAAATAACTGCTAAGACAGATTACTACATCCAGCAAATCTATCCTTTAGTATCAAGAGAAAAATAACCACCTTCCGAATAAGCATGCAAGAGATTCATAACCACTAAGTCAGCATTGTAGAAGATATTTAAAGGAATTCTACACACAGAAGAGGAAGAATAGATAAGCAAATAAAGATTATGAAAGAATTAAAAATTAGAAAAACAACAAAATGACAGGAATCAGTAGCTATCGTTCTACATTAACTCTGAATGTAAATAGTATTAATTCTCCAATTAAAAATAGACTAGCAGGGGATGGTGAATGAAAGGAAGAGACAGGAAAAGGAATATTGTGGGACTGTCCTGCTTCAAGGTTGTATAAGGTTAGTTTTTTGGACTTATGTGTAAACATAAGAAGTATATAATTCTCTATGCCTATTTTTAAAATATATTCTAATTTTTAATTTTTTTTATCATATTCTGTAGGGACTTAAAGTTCAACATATCAATACTTGATGAAAAATACCTGTTCCATGCTATGCCTAAGATGTTTGATATTCAGACAGATAGTGAGGTTAAGCTTAACAACCTAAGTTGTATGGTAATAACAATAAGCTTGTCTTCTGGATGGTTAACAACCTAAGTTTGCAGACCAAATTACAGAAAAAGAAGGGATACAAGGAAAGCCAACACTTTGGCCCTAGCTTTCCAAGGTCAATTAAGACTCAGGACATAGGAGAACTTGTACTGTTATGTCAGGTAACTCGGTAGTGTCCCAAATTTTCTGATCAAGGATATTATAGGGCCAAAGAGGAAAGTGATCGATGATGTAGAGTGTGCCTAAGGAGAGTCACATGGGGAGAAGACACTCTCTCAGGCTTTTCCAGAGAGCACACTGGTCAAGCAATGGCCATGACTCATCCACATGGCTGCACTGACAAAGGTTCTACAATCTGAGGTACAGGATCTCAGGATAAATCCTGAGGGAGTTTCACTGACCTTATCAGACCCAAAAGCTACAACTCTTGTTGCATAGGTCCTGCTTTACCTTGGTCTTAACCATCCAGCAGAAAAGTATAAAAACGAACTATAAGAAGGAAAGCCATGTTGTTATGTTGAGCTGTAGGGGACTCAGGTCAACAATTTCTGACATTGGCAGTCAAGTGGAAGACCCAATACTATTATGGGCTACTGGACTCTTTTAGAATATTTTGCTGAGTTTACACACCTATAATATTCAAATAACAGAACTTAACAAAAAAAGAGGATACAGATGAATGTCCATTTTGTATCTGTGTATTCAAAGTGGTTAGGATAGATATATAGTTAACATTCTCACAATGAATAGAGGGATTTGTTCTAATGGTGTTTGTAAATAGGATATTATGTGCATCTTGTACAGCAATTAACCACTAGGAAGAATGTATACAATGTGTTAATTATTTTTTTTATTTTTTTTTAATGTGTTAATTATTGAAACTGTCCTACTCATTTGATTTGAAACTGTCTCATTGCTATTTGTTTCTCAATAAAATTATGAAAAAAAAAATAGACTGGCAGACTGAAATAAAAAACAAGACCCAACTGCAAGAAACACACCTCACCAGCACAAACACACACATTGAAAGCAAGCAGATGGAAAACAATATTCCATGCAAATGGAATCTGAAAGCAAGCAGGAATAGCTAAGCCTATATATGTCAAAGAAGACTTCAAGACTAAATTAGTCAAAAAGATAAAAAAGGCCACTACAGATTAGTACAAGAAGCAATCCACTAAGACATAAAAATTAACATATATGCACTGGGTGCTGCTGCACCCAATTTCATAAAACAAATACTCCTTGACACAGACCCCAATGCAATGATGCTCTACTCTTACAGACAGGTCATCCAAACAAAACCCAACAGGTTCCGTCAGAGTTAAACTACACCATGCATCAAATGGCTTTAACAGATGTCTACATAAGATTCCATCCCACAACTGCAGAATGAGAAAGAAATCAGAAAAATAATGCCATTCTGTGGTAGTTTAAACAGAACAAAAACCCAGAAATCAACCTAACCAAGCAAGTGAAAGACCTCTATAATGAAAAGTACAGAACAATGAAGACAGAAATTAAGACAGTAAAAGATGAAAAGACTGCTCATGTTCATAAATCTATTATGGAAATTAACAGACAGATTCAATGCAATTCCTATTAAAACACCAATGACATTCTCCAAAGAACTAGAAAAAAAAATCTCAAAATTCGTATGGACACAATAAAGACTGGGACTAGCCAAAGAAATCCTGAACAAAAGGAACAATCCTGGAGGCATCACAACCCTGGAACAATCCTGGAGGAACATCACAAAATGTTCACAGCAAGAAAAACAACATGGTACTGGCAGAAAAACAGGTACAGAGACAAATGGAATAGAATAGCGAGGAGGCAGAAACAAACCATGAAACTATACTGTCATGCAAATCAAAATTACATTGAGCTAGAGAGATAGCTCAGCAGAATAAGCGCCTGCCTGGTACCAGATTCTGGGTTCAATCCCTGGTACCACCAAAAAAAAAAAATTGGAATTTCACCTCACCATGGTCAGGACAGCTATCAAGCATGTGCACACTCATATGCAAAATGCTATTTTTGGCAAAGGGGCCAAAAACATACATTTGAGAAAAGATAGCCTCTTTAGTAAATAGTTCTGGGCAGACTGGACATTCATATGTAGATCTAAATCACAGCTTCCTCACCTCACACAAAAATCAAATCAATTTTTTTTTTTTGGTGCTGGGACTTGAACTCAACCTCACCCTTGCCAGGAAGGTGCTGCTATGCCACTGAGCTATATCCCTAGCTCAAATGAAAACTGATCAAAGGCTTTAAAGACCTAAAATTGAAATTGCCAAAAGAAAACATAGGGGAAACATCTGAAATCACAGGTATAGCCAGACTTCCTGACAGCTCAGGAAATAATAGCAAGAATCAACAAATGGCTGGCCTTAGATCAAATTTAAGTTTCTGAATAACAAAAGAAACAAAACAGTAAAGAGACAGCCTACATATGGGAGAAAGTCTTGGACAGATACCCTTTTGACAGGATCAATGTCTATAATATATAAAGAACTAGGGCTGGGGAGATGGCTCAGTGGAATAAACGCTTCCCTGGCAAGTTCAAGGGCCTGAGTTCAATCCCCGGTTCTGAAAAAAAAAAAACTAAAAAAAGAAAATACCCTGCCGGGGAGACGGCTCAGGAGGATAAGCGCTGACTGGCAAACGCAAGGGTTTTAGTTTAATCCCTGGTTTTGCCAAAAAAAAAAAAAAAAAAAAAAGAAAATACCCTTAACTCCACCAAAAAATGGGCATATGAATGAAACAGACATTTTTCAAAGGAAGTAGAAATGGCCAATTACGTATATAAAAAATGTTCTAACACTTGTCCAACATTTTTGCATTGGGGAAATGCAAATCAAAACTACACTGAGCTGGGGAGATAGCTCAGCAGAATAAGCGTCTGCCTGGTACCAGGTCCTGGGTTCAGTGCCTGGTACCACCAAAAATAAATTAAAATTTCACCTCACCATGGTCAGAACAGCTATCAAGCATATGCATACACATATGCAAAATGCTGGCAGGATTCAGGGGCAAAATAAACTTTATATGCTTCTAACGGTAATGTAAATTAGTACAGATACTGGTAGAGTGGTTCCTCAAAAAACTAAAAATACAACTCCCTAGGATCCAGCTATAGGGCTCCCTGGCATATACAAGGGAATCTGAGTTAGCATACTACAAGGTTAAGCACGCAACCGCGTTTACTGCAGCACAATTCACGGCAGCCCAGGTACCATCAGCGGAAGGGTGGAGAGAAACTAGTACACATACACAAGCGTGCAGTGCTCGTCTGCTATCATCATAAGCAAAATTATGCCAACTACAAAACATGGGTGGAACTAGGCATCGTCATGGGAAGCAAAATAAGCCAGAGGAGGACAAATATCCTGTTGTTACTAAGGGTATTTGGCGGACAGTGGGAGAGTAGAAGGGACACTGTCACTAGCCGAGAGGGAGAGAGGAAGGGAGGGAGCTAAGGGCAGGTGTGATCAGTCATTGCTGTGCAGGAAAAACTGACATCCTGCTGAGGAGCCCAGCTCAAGGCACAGAAGGTGGAGCAAGTCAGAACACACTGGTGCAGGTGAAAAGGCAACTGGCCGAAAGAGAGGCGAGAGGGCCAGGGAAAGCTGCAGAAATGAGGGGATTTAGGGATGAACTCTCAGAGATTAGGGAAGACTGCAAAAGAGAAAAAAGTGGCCTGAACCTGGGCATGGTGGTGCACACCTCTGATCCCAGCACTTGGGAGGCTGAGGCTCCCAGCACTGGGAGTTCAATGTCCACCTGGACTACAAAGTGAGCTCAAGGACAGCCTGAACTGCATAGTGAGTCCCTGACTCAAAAAGACAAAAAAAAAAAAAAAAAAAAAAAAAACAAGAGGCCAACAACAGAGAAAGGGAAATAACAGTAAGACTTAACAAGTGGGCCAGGGGGGCCTCCTCCAAAGGCCCTGAGTCCTGCCCCCTCCTCTCCACAGCCCCAGACCCCTCGACCGCTCCTTTCACCTGCACCTGATGAACCGGCCCTGCTCAGAGCTGAGCCCTTCTAGCAGCAGGAAGGGGACTGGACACCCAAGCTCTATGCGAGCACGGCGTTTTCTGTATGTTTCCTGAATGGAGCTGGGCAGTGTATCCCCCTACACACACACTACGCTGTGTTCACTTCTGTACCCACATATATAAACATACTCATCCCCACCTAGAATTCACACCAAAAGCTCTAATCCCAGCTCCAACTTCATACCTCTCTTCACTGACAGAATCTGTTCTGGCTTTGATTTGTCTCCCATATGTGCTTTGATTCTGTGGGTGACCAACCCCGGGGCTCTGAAGCTGCCAGCTGCCCTGCACAGAACACTGTTCCTGTTCCTGTGGCCAACAGACTGCTGGAGGGAATTTAGGAAGGGCAGAGGAGAGAGGGAAAGGTGAGCAAAGGGAAAAAAGGATTTCAAAAAAATATTTCTAACAACTGACCCAATGTAAAAGAGCCTCGCTTCTATTGTTCCGGACTATCAGAAGACTGTTGCCCTACTTTCATACAAATGGTTGCTTTTCTGTCTTTTGTTTTTTGAGACAGGGTCTTCGATGTAGCCTAGCTGACCTCGAACTCGCAACACTCTTCCTGCCTCAGCCTCTGGAGCACTGGGATTATAGGCATGCACCACCATGCCGAGCTCACAATTCATTTTACTGTCATTTACAAAAACAAAGAAACTGTGACCTTAGCCCATGTAAATATGTGCAAATAATGAAGGGGAATAAATATTATAAAAAATTTGAATTACCCCTATAGCAGCAAGTTCCATTTCAGTGCGATCCCAGTGATCAGTCTGCTCTAAAAAATATATCATTTCATCAAACACATCTTCAAACTTCTTTGGATTCTGCAGAAAAAAAAATTTTTTTCATTCTAAACTCTGTAATAATGCTGAAGTAAGTTATCCTCTAGCAAAGTTTACTGGATTGTATTATCTCAGGTAAGTGAACCAGAACAGTTTCAAGGTCTACCAGATTTATTTCTTTTACTCTTTTGCTGCCCTACTAAACTGCAGAAGCAAAGAATAAGAACATGAATACAAATCACCTGCTACCACTGGTCCTCTTTTTTTTTTTTGGCAGAACTGGGGATTGAACTCAGGCCCCTGCGCTTGCTGGGGAAGCGCTTATTCCACTGAGCCATCTCCCCAGCTCCTCCCACTGGTCCTCTTGATGCCCCCTTTGGAGGACTCCTGTCCTGCTTTATCTGCCAAGTGAAGGTCAAGAAAGCCCTGGAAGATTTTTAGTGGGAACTGAAGTCACTGCTATACCTTACATGTATTTCTTGCTTTATAGTTTAAGCTGCTTTTCCCTTTATCACTCAGCTAATCGCCATAACAATCCTGGGAAATGGTAATAAATTCTACTGTACAGAAGCGAGAACGAGGGTGAAGGACCTGGCCTGGAAAAGCAGGTGCACAGTGGCTCAAGAAAGCCCTGTTTGGTTCTCATCATCTGGACAAATCTTGCATACAGTGCATCTTCCAGCCCAAATCAAGCTCGAGTCATCTTGCTGCCTCTGTCATCCCATGAAGAGGAGGAAGACGCAGCTCAATTTGTACCGCAGTTTTCTGCCACATTGTGTCCTCTAACACTTCCTGAACAGGATTAAGGGACCTGATGGTAATGGCAACAGTGGGGTTACAGTGACAGATGGTGATGGAGTCGCCACATAAAGTTCACAGATCACAGAAACAATGGGCTGAAAATGGTGTGGACTTTATACACAGAAAATAGTTAAATCTAAGAAGAAATCAATGCTCGTTGGATTTTTTTTATGTATTTAGTACAGGGTCTCACTACAAAGATTAGACTTGTAGTGATTGTTTTTCAGCCTCCCAAGCACTAGGATTACAGGTGCACACCACCACACCCAGTCTCAATCACTGTCTCAGCACAGCCCAGGAGCGGGGCCAGCACGGCACACTGGGGATTGAACCCCCGCTGCTGTGTTCTGCCTAAGCAGGCGCTGTAGTCCAATGAGCTATTTGACAGGCCCTTCATTGGATTATTTTTAATATGTGGACCTTTGTAGTTATTTACACAAATTTTTCAACTATTAAAAATTTAATGTATTTTAGCCTTTAATTAAATCAAAACTGATAAAGACTTACTAATAAAACAACTTTACCTTTTGTGCTTTGACAATTAAAGCTGATAAAATTTTCTTTCCACTCTCAGCCAAGAATATCCTGTTGGACACTTCTGAAAAAATTACCTAAAAAATCCATTCGCAAACAAAAGTAAAAAAGATACATATAGTCAATCTGAGTGGCTAGCCAATTTTATAGCACATCTACACATAAACTTCTAACACAGTGCACTGCATGTGGCAGTACATCAACAGGTGGACCACAGCGAAAGCATAGATTCACTAAAATGCAAAGAGTTCTTCAAATGTACAATAAAAGCTAAAAGGTAAACTTCAATTTAAATCTACTTAACATAATTAGAAAACCCAAAAATAAATTTTATATAGCAGCAAAACATAAAACATGGACATTTATTTATTTATGAAGTCAGGGTAGTGCAGGCTGGCTTTGAACTCAGCCTGTAACCCAGGCTGGCCTTGACCTGTGGCCATTCTCCTGCCAGATTACAAGTGTGGGCAATGACACCCAGCTTGTTTATAGCTTTTAGAAGGAAATCAGTAACTTTATCAATGTTTCAAATTTGAGAAAAGCTAAAATACACACTAATTGATAATAACAAGATTTTGAAGCAGTCACTTTTATGTACCTGCAACATCCAGATATCCTGCTCTTTCTTTTCTTTTTAATGTATTTGGTACATGGTCTCACTACCAAGCTTAGACTCACAGTGATCCTCGTTTTCAGCCTCCCCAGCCCTAGGACTACAGGGGTGCACCACCACGCCTGGTCTCAGTGGCTGGCTCAGCGAACCCATGGGAGGGGCCCGTGCAGCATATGGTGCCAAGGATCGAACCCTGGTCCCTATACTTCCCTAAGCAGGAGCTTAGTTCACTAAGCTATCTCACTGGCCCAAGTATCCTGTTCTGACAAGGTGTGGTGGCCTGGAAAGCCACGGAAAAAGATGACTAGTGGAAACATAGAAGTAGGAGGGCAGCCCACACAGGCTCTGCAGCAGCTGTTAGCAAAGAGATGGAAAGAGCAAGCCCCTGCCCTAGTCCTAGGCCAGAGGTGAGCAGCGCTTACGGCTGCTGGGGGTCAAAGGTACCTGAAAAGCCTGTCGCACACAGTGCAGCTTGGCAAGGAAATCACTGTCTCCAAGGCATTCCAACACTTCAGTTCTGTGTAATGAACAGGGGCAACTGTTAAACTTCATTCACAATCCAGCCCACAATGAATCCCATAATGCCTAATCACAGGACTTAACACAAAACACATGTCTTCTTCATACTCATAGAACATGTAAAAATTGCTTTTCTTTTTTACTTGGACCAAAACCATATTTTTCCCTATTCTCATAAACAATTTAATACCTAGCATACAAATATAGCAATGGCACCTTAGTATGTTTCATAAGCATAACCAAAACTGGCACAGTACCTCAGGACTCTTGAGTGAATTTTTCCTTCTTCAACTAAACGCATGGCTTCTTCATAAAAAGGGCAGTGGCAAAAAGACTCCAGGCTGTAGGTCTGCTGTACTTCTCTGGGCTCTGCAAGCTAAGAATGCAGCGAGTTACCACAGGTCAAATCAGCAAGAGACTGCAAACGCATCTCCCTATTATCAAGATGCATGGTATCACACAAAACCAGAAAAATCATTCACTAGGTGCTGTTTTTGTTTGTTTGTTTGTTTGTTTGTTTGTTTTGAGGGGGGTCTTTTTGAGACAGGGTTTCACTCTGTAGTTCAGGCTGGCTTTGGACTCACTCTGTAACCCAGGTTGGGCTCCAACTTAGAGCAATCTTCCTGCCTCAGCCTCCCGGTGCTGGGATTACCACCACCACATCTGATCTCATTACCATTTTAGGAATAATGAAATAAAACCTAATTCCTTTTTTTTTTTTCTAATTTCATTTTATGCTAGAATCTACTTGTTAAAAAGAGAAGAACTCTGTCATAAACTTAATTTCTAATCTGACCACTTAAATCCACAGGGTGCACAAAACAGCAATATCTTATTGTTCACCAGTAAGGATAACTAAACAGGAAATAGGGGGTGGAATATCCAGGGAGTACTCAACAGTATTGACTCACAAAGCAAAAACTTTCTACCGAAACATGAAAATAAGCTCATTAACTTTTTTTTTTTTAAAAAAAAGACAGGATCTCACTGTGTAGTTCATGCTGGTCTTGAACTCACTATGTACCCCAGGCCAGCCTCAAAATCACAGGGATCCTCCTACCTCAGCCTCTCAAGTGCTGAGATTACAGGCATGTTCCACCATACCCCGCTAGCTCTTCTATCTTACATGTGGCTTTGATTAACTTTTGTACAACTATTCTTTGGATTTAATTAAAAAAATTTTTTTTAAAGAATCTTTTATTTATTTATGTATGTATTTCATACAGTCTTGCAGCTTAGACTCATAGTGATCCTCCTGTCTCAGACTCCCAGCCCGGGGATTACAGGCGTGTGCCACTATGCCCGATTTTGGTGGCAGGCACAGCACACCTGGGTTCCAGAGCCATCACAGCATGTGGCACCAGGGGTCAAACCCAGATCTTTGTACTTGCCAGGCAAGTGCTTAGACCGCTGAGCTATCTCCCAAGCACAAACTGTTCTTTGTGTACTCTGTATAGCCAGTTTTTTTTTTATTTATTTATTTATTTTTCTTGATGGCACAGCAATCCTATAAGTAGAACTTGTCTTTTTTTGAGATAAGGCCTTGCTCTGTGGTCCAGGCTGCTCTTGCACTCATGATCCTCTTGCTTCACTTTAGCCCTGAGTGCTGGGATTACAGGCATGTACCACTATACCTAGCTAGAATCCCAGTCCTCTAATTGCACATTAAAAACTGAAAAAAAGAAAGAAAAAAAAAAAACCTGCAAATGCTGTATTTTGTTTAGTACTCAACTAAACAAAAAGCCTCTGCAGTAGCTTTATTTTTTAATGCCAAAGTTACCCATATAATGGCATACTATACTTTTTTTTTTTTCAAAAAACAGAACAAGTTTGATTTTTTTTTTTTTTGTTTTGTTTTGTTTTTTAAACAAGTCAGTCAAGAATAGTAAGGGTTACACAGCTGTAACCTCAAGGAAGATAACAAAATTTGCAACAGATGGCTGCTGGTGAACACACATTACCAGCATTTCAAAAATTTACAAAAATTTAACAAAAGTCTCCTAAACAGCTACCTTTATATTCATAAACAAAGTATAAACAACTGGCTTATCCAGTTATACAGCAAGTCAAACAGGCAGAAAAAATGATAGAATCATCTTTGATTTTTGAAGAATAGTAATACAAACTAAACTAATTGATACCACACACAATACCATCCTAGGGCATTTTGAAGAAGGTGCCAGGAAGGATTCAAACAGGCTAACACATGATGCCATCTACTTTAACTGCATTTCTCTTTTTATTTTTCTTTTCCTTTGACAGCCTTTTCATTGACTCTTATTGCCTTGATATTTTATCATTATTTTTTTCCCTACATGACAGCAGTATTGTTGCTACAAAATCCATAGTTCTCGTTCATTACCGGCCACCTCAGACAACAGGAGGGTGGTTTGCTTTCGGTTTTTGAGGACTTTGCTCAGTAACATCAGAGATGTTCAGAGTGGGCCCAGCTCGTGCATGCTGCCATAGGTAGTTGGGCAGTAAAACGTGCACCTTCTATTTAAAAAACACAAACAAAAAAGTAGATCTGGACAAATCGCAACTCGATTTCTGCTGCAACGCCAGCCCCGGGGTAAAGGTTTATTCCTTCACTTTGCTGATGTAGTCAGTGATTTTGCTGATGCTTTCCTCCTGCTGCTCCAAGGCCTCCAGGATGATGCCCATGGGAGTCCCAATTCCCTCCATTTTATTCTCCAGCTTGTTCTTGAGGTTCCGGAGTCTCAATGACGCATGGATGAACATCAACAACAAGGGAAAAGTGATCCCAAACACGAAGACCATGACCCCCCCAAACATGGATATGAGGAAACAGCTGGCCAGCATGACCATCATCGTGAATGCAGTGGGGTACTGCTTCTTCATCCGGCGGAGGATGTCTTTATTGTGGGCTGCCCACAAGAACCCTGGGAACACCAGGACCACCACAATTCCTCCAAGGATCATGTTGAAGGGGCTCAGAAACCCCACCACAGAGATCATTATGGCAGCCACCACCAGGTAGTTGGTCTGGTAGTAGAGCAGATTGCTCACGACATGGTTGTTCCATTTGGAAATGTCCCTTGAAGTCTGGCCGGGCAAAGCAGTTGGAGCCTGGAAAGAAATCATCCCAGGCACGGAGTGGGGCAACCGTCACGTCCATGTTTCTCTGCTTGGCCTCCTTCACCTCCGGAATCTGGAGGTGGTGACCTACACTTTTTTAATAATAGTTTTACTAAACTATTATTTTACTCACCTACAATAAAATACACCCTTTTGAAATATATAGCTAGGTGTTTTTTTGTATACTTAGTAGTGCAAACCATGCTGCTAATTCCAGAACATTTTTATCACTCCTCAAAGAAAGCTCTAGCCATTAGCACTCACCCCAAGTTCGCTCTTTCCCCAGTTCCTGGAAACCACTATACCTGCAGGTTCTATGGAGTCCCCCCAAAAAGAAATTTGATGGATTTTGTTTCCTAATCCACTGTGCCAGTCTATTTCTCTTAATTGGTGAACTGAGTCCATTTACATTGATGGTTATAACTGAGATATATTGACTTATGATTGACATGTTATTTACCTGCTGTTGTTTACTCCTTTTTGTCCTGTGTTTAACTGTTTGCCCTATTTAGTGGGTTCTTCTGTTCTCATTGGTGGAGTTCTGATCATTTTGGTCCCTCTCTAGAACATCTTTCAGGAGCCTGTGTAGGGTTGGCTTTGTCATCATGAAATTCTTTAGTTGTTCTTTGTCACAGAAGTATTTCACTTCTCCATCAAACTTGAAAGAGTTTTGCAGGGTATAGCAATCTGGGCTGGACAGAAATTTGATAGAAGTGGAAACACTATGTGGCCTGCATGTCCAGGTGCTTCCACTTAGCTCCTCCGTGACGCATACATACCAGAGCACTTCATTCTCATTCACCACAAACACGATGCCAGTGTATGCTTGCTCCTCACAACTGAGGGACTTTTGGCTACTCGAACTATGGCTGCTGTGAACATTTGTGCACAAGTTCATGTAGACACATGTCAACTCCTCTGGCATCCATCTAGAACAAAAGGGTCAGATGGCAACTCCGACTGACATTTTGATGAGCTGCCAGACTATAAGGTGGCTGCCTGTTTTCCCACATGACCAGCAGTGCATAAGAAATCAAATTTTACACATTGTCAATAACAAGTGTTATTGTCTACCTTTTGTTTTTTTTCCATTTTGTTTTGTTTCTCAGTGCTAGGAACTGAATCCAGGGAACACTGAGCTATATCCCCAGCATTTTTTATTTTCAGGCACGATTTTGCCATATTGCCCCAGATAATGCAAGTTTGTAATCCTCCTGCCTCAGCCTCCCAAGTTCTAAGATTATTTACTTTTATTTATTTATATTTTGGTATCAGGAATGGAACTCAGGACCTTGCACTTGCCAGGCAGGCACTGTGGCACTGAGCTATAACCCTGGCCTCCAAGTGCTAAGTTTACAGGTTATGTTATGTATTTATTTTCCTTTCTCAATACAGAAGACTGAAACCAGGGCCTTAACACACAGTATGCAGACAGTCTACACTGAGCGACATCACCAGCGCCCCCATCTTTGTGTTTATACCCACCCCAGTGGATGGAAACTTAAGATATTTCATCTTTTTTCCCCCGGAACTGAGGATTGAACTCAGGCCCTTGCACTTGCCAGGCAAGCACTTACTCTACTGAGCTATCTCCCCAGCTCAAAATATTTTATTTTACTGGTCATTTGCATACTTTCTTTGGAGAAATGTCTATTCAAGCCCTTTGGCCATTTGTTTTTTAATCTTTTTTTTTTTTACATTTGATTTTTTTTTATTTAATTTTTATTATGTGTGTGTGTGTGTGTGTGTGTGTGTGTGGCCAGCTTAGCCCACCAGGGGGCAGCGCTGGCTGGCATGTGGTGCTGGGGGATTGAACCGTGGTCCTTGTGCTTTGCCAAGCTTGTTCTAAGTAGGTGCTTTAGACCACTGAGCCATCTCACCAGCCCTGGCCATTTGTAAATTGAGATATTTGTACACTGAGTTGTAAGAATTTTTATATAGTTTATACACAATGCCCCCAGATATACAATTAAAAAATATTTTTCTCCCATTCTGCCTTTTCTTTTAAAGGTAGAATGCTCTACTGAGTTCAAGCTCACCTTGCTATATAGCTCAGGCTGGTCTTGAACTTGCAATCCCCCTGCCTCAGCTTCCTGAACAGATGGAATTACACGTTTGTGCCACCATGCTTGGCTATGTTCTCAGGTTGGTTTTGTTTCTGTTTTTTTACCGAGGGAAGGAGCTGATACTCAGCTCAGCTTTACTGGAAAGAGACTTTACAGCACATCCTGAGGGAGTCCGTGGGGGTCAGCAGGCCAGATGGTGAGGCACCAGCCAGCTTGTAACTGGCTCCACAGCTCGGGTACCGCCGAGCCTCACCTCTGTGCAGCCAAAACCAGACGACAGCGCTGTTGTCCTCTTCATAGACGCAGCCCACTATTTGCTTGTTGGTGTTGGACGGGACTAAATTAGGGTCTTCCTTGGTGCCTGAAGCCCCCTTTGGGGCTAGTACATTGTATGGGTCCAGCCCCTCCTGGACTGCCAGCATGATCTCTCTCTCCAGGCCAGTCGCCTGCTCCTCATCAGTAGGGATACCACTCCAAAAGCCATAGAGCGGACGGCAGCAAGCCCACTAGGGCTGTGGGCCCTCAGGGCCTGCATGGCCAGTGCTGCAGCTCCGCGAAGTACCCTTGAAGTCATCATACCCTAAGTTTTCAGTTTTAATAAAGTCTAATTCATTTATTTTTTATCTAATAACACTTCCTGCTGTACAGTGTATCAGTGTCAGCCATAGGTGAGAAAGGGGACCTCCAAGGTCCTTCTTGGGCATACACAGCCCATATATCCATGTTGCCTCTGGGTTGGAGCTTCCCAAAGCCCCCATGAACACCTCGCCAGCCTGTTCTGCTTCTAAGTTTTTGATGAGCCTCGTTTCTATATCACCCAGTACCACCAGCTCAGGTGGCATTAGCTGTAAAGAAGTGATGCCAGCTGTTCTCCGGACCTCAGAACGAGCCCTGATCAGGTTGTGAGAGACAAACCCTAGGAAAGGTGCTTTGTAGTGGCCACTACTCAGGCTGGACAGGGACAGTTTTCCAGAGGCGGGATTTGGGATGCGCGTGTGCCCTCAAGTTCTTCCAAGGTGCAGGCTGCACAGCTGGAACAAAAGCTGTGCAAGATTTCTGCTGACAGGGGGTGGGCTCTGATTGAGCTCTGCTCTGAGGGAGATTCTGCCATTTTTCTTCCACAAATGCTCTCTGGAGCTTTGCAAGTCTTTCCTGTTTTCCAAGTTCTGAAGATTTTGATCTGAAGTATTTTTGCCAGTGTCCTTCTTGCTTTGTGAAAGGGACCTTTGGGCTCTTCTTTTTAAAACTGTGCTGGGCACAGAATGCAGGGCCTGTGCTAGGAAGTGCTCTACCACCAAGGTGAACCCCTCCTGCAAAACTCAGGAGCATTTCTCCAGTCCTGGCCAAGTAGCTCCTTTATGTCTCACAGGAAGAAGTAGGAATTGGGAAGAAGCAGGAATTGAGGATAAGGACCCTTGTCTAGCGTTCCACAGCAAGCTGGTGCATTTATTCAGCCTCAGGTGCCTAATTCCAGAGCCAAACAACAGTTTCTGCTAGTCTTATCTAAACAGCACAGAATAAGAAATGTGGACACTGGTGCTCTTTGAGAAGTATAAATATGCAGATTCTCTGTTAAGGAATATTTCCCCTCACATTTTTTTTTAAGTTGAAAAATCATTTATTTCATTGGAAACATAAAAGTGATCCAACTCTAGGTCTAGACTTCGGGCTAAAAGAAACCCAAGAGCAGCGGTGACTCTCACTGAGGTTACTCCCAAATCCGCTAGAGGCAGGAGGCAGGGAGGAAACAGGGCAGCCGTCACCACAGCTTCTGCACACAATGAGGTCTGCCTGCTGAGAAAACTGGTACATGAAAGGAAAGCTACAGAAGTATTAAACAACAAGAACAAGATAATGGGCAGTAGAGAGAAATAGCAAGGAGGTCTGAGCTTAGCAAGGTAAATTAAGGTCCCCAATTCCTGAGGGACTGAATGCACAGAGCCAAAAACGTCCTGGAGATGGGGTACCAATGAAGTGTGTATTCTCATGCACAACCTCAGCTCGGCATTTCAGTTCACACACATTCCATCTTGAAACTCAGTGTTATCAAGGCCCCTGCTGGCCTCCACTGCATCTTCTGCCTGCTGCATGTGTACAAATGCATAATCTTTCATGATGTCACATTTGATGACTGGATCATATTCCTCAAATTTGGTCCGAAGCTCTTTGTTGGTACAGGTGGGGCTGATGTTACCCACATGTAACTCGGTTGAAGCTCTGCTCTTGCTGGCTTCCACACTGATGCTTACCCTATGCAACTTACAGTGGTGCAGTTTCTGGATGGCATCCTCCGTCGCTGTGTTTTCCTCTATGTGCACAAAGCCATAGTTCTTAATGATGTCACATTCCAGCACCTTCCCATACTGCTCAAAGAGTGAGCGGATCTCTTGCTCTGTGGCCTCCCAGGGCAAGTTTCTAATGAACAGCTTCACCATCTCAACCCAGCCTCACAGAAATCCATAGGACCTGTTCCTTGCAGCATGGATGCTTCCAATCTCCCCTCACATTTTAAAGAAATTAAGTTATACCCAAAGCAGTCTTTTGAAATCTAAAAAAGAAATCTGCCAGCTTAAAAACTTCAAACTATAAAGTTGTTACTAAATTGTTTATTAAAGTTTCTATTATCATCAAAACAAGCAGGTTCCACATATCCCTATTCACAGGGGAAAATGTGAGGAAGGCACATGGGCTCCAATTAAACTCTTTATATGAAGTAACTTCTACTGAAAAGTGAACAAATCCAGTAACGAAGAGCTTCTAGGTTCATGTTTTGATTTCATGGTCAATTCTGCTTATTTGTTGGTTTGGATGAAGTTACTATTTGATAAGCCTTCAAAAGGAGGCCTGCAGCTATAAAAACGTATCACCCTAAAGGTCTGTAGTTCCCAGCAGGAACATAAACTCCTAAGAGACAATGACAACTCAAATTTATTTTAATTAATCTTAACATTTTAAAAGCAAAATTACTAAAGTGTTGGTTTAGGTTCTCATTTAGAATGTATCTGATAGGAAGAACTTTTTCAATGAAACTCTCAGATGTACCTGCTAAATAAATGTCAGCAGAACTCTGGCAGCATAGTTCTGTGATAGCAAAACTGTACTCTGCGACTTAAAATGAAGAGAAATTCTCGGGAGGTACAGACATGCCCTACCTCTGCTCCTGAGGCGAAGGAGTCAGTCGATGCAATGCTCACGGTGTCTCGGCGGTGAACGTCATCCACATTTCCCTTCACTGTGGTATCTGTGTCTTTATCTTAAAAGTGAGAAAGGTAGAAAGCTCAGAAAGGGATTGTCCCCGTCCCTGCCATGTTTCACCTCTACAGTTTGTGTCCCACCTGCCCCCGTCTTTCTTTTTTTGGCACACAGAGATCTAAAGGGAAATAGTAACCACGTGGCCCACACGCTGATGACTCTCTCCAGGCACAGCGACAGTGCAAGCGGCAGGAGAGCGCCTGGCCAGAGCACCGGCTTCACGTGTAACACAGAAACAAGATGGAACTTCAGTTTGGATTGGATTTCAAGGGCTTCGGATATAGTCATAACTAGTTGGATTATCTACCAGACAGAGAAAATCAGCATATCCCAAGACTCACTTAAGTATTCTTCAGAGTTTAAAGTCTACTTAAAAACTGAACACCCAGTCGGGCTGGGGAGATGGCTCAGTGGAATAAGTGCTTCCCTGGCAAGCACAAGGGCCTGAGTTCAATCCCCAGTTCCACAAAAAAAA